CCCGCCCCCCGAAATAACGACCACTGACGTCCAATTCCCGCCCTCAAATTGCCAAATATCTCTTGGAAGTTAGCTTGAGGATCAGAACTTGGTTGATATAATTATTACGATGACAAGATCGTAATGATTTTGAAGATGCAACGTAATTATTTGTAATTGCTCAAGCGGATACCTAGCATCTGGAATAGTAGGAATAGTGCTTCAATAGCCCATATTACTCCCTTGCCAAGTAGCAATTGTATTCATATCGAAGAGTGAAAAAATATGTGAATGTTTTCAAAATATCGCCTGGAATCAGACCGGTTTATTTCAAACATTCAACGAAACGAAATCCGTTCTCTTAGATCGTCGGGGACGCTAGGGCTTGATTACCAACCGCTGTTCGCGAAAGGAGTCCGCGCTCCTCTCCTTCTCTTCTCGGGGAGGAACGTAGACCGGACTGGAGAGAGCGGCGGAAATCGAGCCTACGGGGACGAGAGCAAAATAAAAAAAAGCCCAGTAGATGTAACGAGTGCAAACCCAAGAGGATTTTGGGGAGTGAGAGGCGTGGGGGTGGGGGGTTGGGGGATAGAGAGAAGGTAAACTAAGTCGAAGTGAGTAGTCGAAGTGTCTTTTCTGAGAAGTTCATCGAGCCAACGGTCAGCGAAGTTGCGAAGCAGCATGATGTCATCTTGATTTATGTTGCCACTTCAATTTGCAGAGAACTCGTGCAGGCATGCGCGAGTATTTGCCGTTAGAAAAGCTGGAACTTTCTTTAAATAATCTTCTTCCAGCCGATGGCGTTTCCGCAAGCTCCAAACTGCCTTAGCCAGGTCTCGAGGGTGGTAAATGGGGTCTAGGTCACGTTTCATGGAAAATAAAAACGTTCTTTCACATCCTGTCATGAAAATAAAATAGACATTTCACGTTTCATGGAAAGAGGGAGGCATTTTCTATATGAAGTGACATAACTAACGAGATTTTTTAAAAGTCATGTCTAAATCACAGCCCTGCTCGACATCGCCATTTCTCCCCTTCTTTTATTTAAACACTTGGGTTGAAAACAAGAAAACTGCTCTCCACAAAGACCAAAGAGCTGAGATAAAATACTTAAATGCCCCTTATAATTAAAAGCGTTCAACATTTTGATGACGAATAGCATAACAGCATCAATTCCCGTATTTATTGTCCGCAAAGACTTAGACAACAGACGCAGTTAAATGGTAGGCGGCTGCAACAATTGGGACTAGCATGTGGGTCTTGGTATTGACCAGCTCGCATCACGGTACGTGACCAAGGGGAACTCAAGGCGTGCTGGAACTTTTTCTTGTTTGCAGGAGCACTGCTGACAACTCCAACAAGGAGAACAAGGCACAGTATGAAAGAAGTTTCCATCTAGAAAAAAAAAATTACATTACTAGTTAGTCTAACAAAATGTCTTATTGAGCGTGAAATCTGCAGGGATTGTATGCTGCTTGGAAAATTAGAACTCAGTCCTATTTCTAATTTATCTAGATAGGAAGTCTTGCACGACAACTTGCTGAATAAATACTAATTAGCCGAAACGGGAAAAATGAGCCCTTGTTTAAGGGCGTTCGCGCCCAAAATGTTCCCACGAATATATTTCTTTAAAACTTATCATGAAGTAAGATAAAGGTCACCTTTTGCCAAAAAGCCAATAAAATGGCGGTCATGCGCTGTGCTCGTTTTCGAGCCGCGTGTCGTGATGCCAAAGAAAAATGAAAAATGAAACCAAAATGAAAGAAGAATGGGGGTCACCGAGTATCCAAAAGAGTAAATTGCTGGCGAAGTTTGCGCACCCGGTGCAAAGTCCTACACTTGCTTCTATTTCTTCCTTAGCGCGCGCGCTTGATTTATGACGTGGTGTGACGTTGGGACATGAATTTCGTGCGCAGAAAGGATGCACAGTAACGCGCGAACGTCCTTAAGCCAGGATCAGACAAGATACGATACAATTTATTAAACTCAAATCGTGGGATGAGGTTGCCCTCCATATCTAGGGGCTCATGATGTATAAAACGCTTTACAATATATAGCTACTAGAAAAATAACACAAAATTAGAAGAAAATAATGTAAGAAAATATTAATCACATCATGATATAGAATATGTTAAAAGTATTGAAATATAAATATCAGTAAAATAAATCAGTAAAATAAATCAGTAAAATAA